GAATGGCTGTGTTATTTGAGGTGGTGGTGCTCATCAGAACTTTCACTTTGCCCTCTCCTGGAGCTCTGAATTATCTTATTTCCCTAAAGCTAGTTGCCTGATTATGAGAAGGAAACGTTTATATTAAGTGCAAAACACAGAACAAGCATTCCGTCATTCCTGCTGACTGATGTCGTTTGGTACAGCATATAACTATGAAAATTGGATGTCATTGTTTTCCTATAGGAAACCATGGCAACTGTCAATGGCAAGTCAAGGGTTGCTATGAATAAATCCTTTGCAGACTATATTTTTGTACCACACATGGAAGGAACTGAGGAGCATCATAACCAATAAAGATCAGCCTTGTCTGTTTGGCATAAAAAAAGAGAGATTATCTTCGGTGAGACCGTATCACCTTTCTGCTTTACAGAAGAGTGTTTCTGCCAAATTGAGCATATCCCTAAAATGTATATTTTACTGGAATATTTCCTACATTGACATCTCTAGTAGATTTCTTTAAATAAAATCTCTCCAGCTTTGAAGATAGTGCCAGTTCCCTTCTCACAAGGCAGGATAGCACTGATTTGTAACATCTGGAGAAGAGAGATATACAGTAGATATAGATATAGATGATATAGTTATAGGTACATAGATATATATACACATCTGTGTGTGTGTTTATCAGTCATCCATCCATCCATCCATCCATCCCCATGCCAACATAAGGAACATAAACTTGATGTGTCAGGGGAAAAAAGAAGTACAGTAATGAATAAAGATACTGTTGAATAATTCCAATACTAATTGTTGTTCATAGTAGGTTAATATGGTAACTAGCAGGGTTTGTACATAATGGCTTAGCATTACAGTGGTGAGACATAGGGCTTGTGCCCTTCTCTCCTGTGAAAGGAGAAGACATATAGCAATTAAGGTTGCCATCAAGGTCTTTGCTGTTGGTGTGGTTGCATCTATACAGAATAAACCTGTGGAATAAAAATTCTCATGGATTTATTTCTCTCTTTTTTTAAAAAAAATTATTGCTTTTAAAAAAATAACAAAAAGAAGAACAAAACACAAAAATAATTATGTTGCAAATACATACATTCTCAAACAAAAAAATGCATAACTGCTTTTAAAAAAGTGGAAAAAAATACAAAAGGAGAAAAAAAACAAAGTATAATATATTGTTATAACAGTTAACAGTTACAATTCTATACCTACTTATCTAATATAAGCATTATTCAAATACATATATATTTATTTCTAATACACTTATATAACAGTCATTCTTTTTTAACGTGCTGTATTTTGTATAAATGAGTTCCATATTTCATTATACTTGTCCATACAAAGTCTATGTCTATAGGTAATCTGCTCATAGGTGGCAAGTGTAATCAAGTCTTCAATCCATTGAGTGAATGGGGCCATACATTTATCTTCCCAATGCTGCAGTATCAGTCTTTTGGCCATAGTAAGGGCATGGAGAATCCATTTACGTTGTCCAGTTGTCAAATTCCATGTAATAGGTATGTAATTGAAAGGAATATTATCCGCTGAAAATATATGTATAGTCTACTATTTTTTCCCAAAACTTAGTAAGTATAGGACATTGTAAAAACATGTGTTTTAAATAAGCATTACCTTTATTACATCTCCAACAAAATGCTCTTAGACAGTCCTTTTCTATACAAATGTAGTGGAGTTCAATAAATTCTAAATATTTTTTATTTTATAAGTCGAAGTTTAAGAACCATTGACACTCTTGCTATAGAAGTTAAGACACTCTCCTATTGTCTAGGCAATATAGGGACCTCTAATTCTTCATTCCACTCATTTCTTAGTATCTGTATATCAAATTGATTTATTGATAACAAATATCTATAAAAACTAATAGTAGGGTTTTTTTAGTTTTAAAGGATTTAACAAGTTGTTCTAGTATCTCAGGTGTCTCAGAAGCTGAGAATGCTGCTGGTCCAAGCAAAGTTGTTAACAAATGTTGTAGCTGTAAATTTTGCCATTGGGTTACATCTGATTGATGTTATTTATCTTTTAATACAGTGTATGTTAAAAATTCCTCTTCATCATCTATCAGTTGGTCCAAAGTGAATATCCCCACTTCCATCCAATTTTTCCATATCACCATCTTTTTCCCAATTTTTAAAGTTGGGTTTTCCCATAAAGTCAATCTAGCATGGGAACAGGGGTCAAATCTTTTTTTTTTTTAGGCATTCCATAACTTTCTACCTGACATAATTGTTTCCAGAGATACTAGTATTTTGATCTTAATACTGTCCATCCAACCAAAGATGCTATATATGTATATTCCAAAATTGTCCAAATTGGAAAATTAACGCCAATTGTTGGCTTCCAGTATTTAAAACTGACAATAGGTAAACATGATGATATAGCTCCAGATTTGGAAAACCATATTCTCCCTCATTAATTGGTAATTGCATTTTCTGTAAAGAAATTCTGGGAATTGAAAACTCCATAGAAATTTTCTAAACAAAGAATTTCTTTTCTTAAAATATTTTCCAGATATATGAACTAGGATTCCTCTCAGAATATAAATTAATCTGGGAATAATACTCATTTTGAGAGCATTCACCTTTCTCCAAAGGGTGAGGTTTAATGCTTCCCATCTATTGATATCTGAAGAAACCTCTCTCTATATTTTACTTATATTACATGTTATTGAGTTAATCTTTTGTATTCACATACCTAGATATTTAATGGATTCAGTACAAATACGGAACTAATATTCCTTAAATGGATGGTTAACCAAGTTTTCACCTTTTGGCATCAGTTCTGATTTAGGCCGGTTAATAGAGTATCCTGATATTTTACTAAAGGCATTTATCATTTACATCAACACTGGAATAGTAGTGTGAGGTTTAGAAATAAACAAAAGAATGTCATCTGCAGATAAAACCAATTTGTATTATTGATTTACTTCTCAAGCCTGTTACAGATTTTTAATTTTTTAAAATATAATTTTTATTTAAGATTTTTAAACTGATAAAAGATAAACATAAGGAAGTACGGAAAGTGACATTAAAAAAGAAAGGAAAGAAAAAGAAAAAGCACAGAAAATATAAAAGAAAGGAAAAAATATTTAAAGAGACAATGTCCGATATTTTTTACAGCAGTTACATACAAACTTAGTATCACTCCTCCCCCTTTAAAATTACATACATAACTCACTTCTTCCCATATCCAACCCTTTTCAATCAGCAGATCCAAAAATCATCAATTCATTTCTATCCATGTTCAGCAAAAAGTTCATACAGGGTTTCCAGTATTTTATAAAAGTACTTATTATCTTATCCCTGATCAAACAGGTCAACTTTATATTCTTTTCTCTTATGCAGTATTCTGGCATTAGTAATCCTCAGTTTAGTATTGAGATGTTGTATTAGGACCTGGTCTCTTGTCTTCTTCCTAACAAGGTGCACAGATATATTTCGTGGTATTTTTCTTGACTTTTCATTTCTTATATTGATTCTGTATACCTGGTTCTGCATCCATGTCTTCTTCCTTCCATGTTGGAAATTTTTTTAAGGCTTCAACAACTCTCTCCGTGCTATCTTCACCAGATTGTTCTGTAATTACTCTCAATCTCAAACATAATTCTTTCACTTTTGAATCCAGTAGTATCACATTGTCAAAATCTTCTTTCATCTCTCGGCTTAATGTTTCTGTCTCACTCATTTTCAATACAGATTCTTCAAATTGTTTATTCATCTTTCCTTCCATGTTTACAGATTTTCCTCCATCCTCTCTTCCAAGAGGATCCCTTTTTCTATCATTTGCTCTGTTAAAAATCCTCTTCTCCCTTCTGCAAGTTTCACTGTTTTCTTAGCAGTAGCCATTTCTTTCCTTTAATTTATAATCCAGAGAGGAGAAGTGAAAGTAAAAGAGGAGCTTCTTTATTTTTTTCCCTTTCTCTGTGTGCTTAACTCTTTGGACCCATCCAACACTCCGTAGTTCTGTAGTCAGAGGAACTTTCGCAACTTTCCTTTATCTCTTTGCTTAATAAAACTAACCAATTATGTTCTTTGGCAAATCTAAACAGTCCTCTTTGCCACGGAGGTATGCATTATTTATTTAATTATTTCAAAAGTACTTTTCAGTAAATAATTCCAAATTATTAAGTAAATAATTCCAAATTCGACTGTCCCCATAGTTTTTTTTTTAACTTTCTTACTTTAAATTCTTAGCCAGCTTTTTGCTTTTTGTTATTTTTAAATCCTTGTCTTTCTTTAGTTTTAGTTTTAATCCTTAATCCTGGTCAAAGGAACACTCACCAGGTCGTATTGTTACTCTGTTGTTCGGAAGATCTCTGTAGCCTTAAAAAGATTATGTTCCAAATGTGCTTTAGAAGGTGGGGATTTGGGCAAACCCAACATCCTTAAACAAGCTCCACTAGGCTGTGAGCTCAATGTTTCCTCCTCAGCTCTGGCACTCATACAAGGAGTCCCACAGAGTTATGCAGGTCTCCTCATGAGGAGCTGCCTTCTGGAGCACACATGGGCAATCTCCTGGCTTCTCCTTATCCAGAGAAGCTCCGCTGCCCCAGGCTTACTGCCTGGTCACCAATCTCTGCCTCAGCGTCATCTCCGCAGTTCGGAGACACATCAGTTCACCATTTACCCCACCCAGAAGTCCTTTTCTACAATAATTTTAATAGAGTAAATATCCATATTGTGCTTTAGGATTAAATTGAAGGGAGGCATTGTGTACAGAAACAGTGAAAAATAATGGTGTTTGCTTTGCTACAGGTTTGTTACCATTGATAGTGTTGGCGGTTAGTAGTAGTAGTAGTAGTAGTAGTATTGTGCTGGCTCTTTCATAAACGTGTTTGGTAAAAGAAATCAGTTTGCTTTTCAGTAGAATTGTTTGCCTCCATGATTGTACAATATAGTGCTTCTTTTAGAAAGTTGTGTTGTAAATGGTAATTCATCTTTTTTCACAAACAATTTTCATTTAAATTATTTTGTTCTGTCCTTTTTCGGTAGGATATCAATAACCAGAGTGACAGCTGACATTTCTCTTGCCAAGAGATCTGTTTTAAATAATCCAAGCAAAAGGGCAATAATTGAGCGATCAAACACCAGGTCCAGTTTAGGTAAGTTGTTTTTCAGAAATAGATTGAGATATTTTTGTATGGTTGTTTTTTCTATTTTAGGGGAGGAGGGGAGAGTATTAGTTTCTGATACAAAAACACGGAATTGCCATGCTTCGATCCTTGCCAAGAGAGGGGACAAGGAGCTGGAGCAGGACAGTGGTCAGTGCCTCATTGTGGGAGTGGGAGTGGGAGGTACTGCCAAATTCCTTCAAGTCCTCAGGTGGCCTGCCCTGGACCCAGCAATTTTGGGCAAATACCATCCTATCCCTAACTTTCCTTTTAGGTCACTGTGAGGTTGAGAGCACCATATTATAATAGTTCTGCTCCTTCCTAAGCAAGCAATTTCAGTTGGAGATTCTGGGAGAGGAGAGATTGAGCCAATACTGGGCATTCCAGTATTAGGTAACCCAAGGTTGACCCTCTCCCTGTTTTATTTAACATGTAGATGAAGCTACTGGGAGAGGTAATCTATTGATGCAGAGGGAGGTATCTTCCAGATGCAGATGATACCCAGTAGCATAATCTGAGTCAAGTTGGAGACGCAGTGGAAATCCAGTGTCTGGAGACTATCAGTGTTTGGATGGGGATAAAAAGGTATAGGCTTAACCTAAAGAAGATGGAGGGCTGTTAATTCAGAAGCCAACTGATTCCAGTGTTCTACTAACTTTGATTCTGGAAGTTGTGCTTCCCTTACAAAAGCAGGCCTGTAGTCTGGGGCTCTTCCTGGATGTACAGTTCCTTCCAGGAGAACAGATGGTATCAAACTTCTCTTGGTCAGCTAGGCAAGCAATTGCACGAATAGACTTCCAAGGGCACCAAAGCTCTGATTACTAGAATTATTGTAGGAAAGTTAATTAAGCCATTAGCAAAGAATTCCAGTGACCACTGTGTATCAAATTTAAGAGTTCATTTGAATAAGGTCACAGTGGGGGCATATGAATTTCTCGGGTGGTGTGTGTGTGAAATCATTCCAGAGGGCAGGCACTATGACAGAGAAGGGCCACTTCCTGGGTCCCATCAAGTGACACTGTTTAATCAATGGGACCCAGAACATGCCAACTCTGCTGGATTGTGTAGGATGGGCAGAAACTATAGTAGCAGGCATTCTCCATGGGACAGCTTGCCCATAGAGATGAAAGTAGCTTTTCCTCTTATGAGCTAAGATAAGCTTGTAAAGTTCTGGTTATTTTAGACGACCTTTGGTGATTAGTTTATTGTGCCATTAATGTGGCATTGTTATTCTACTGATGTGGTATATTGCTGCTGTCATTTCTGTTTAATTGCTCTGCTGATGGTATTATTGATAGTAAACTGGTTAGAGTTGACTAGATTGAAGAAGCATAAATGTAATTATAAATAAATAAAATAAAGAAATTTGTGCTACTTAATTCCTTGCCAAATTTTCCTTTTGGTTTGGCTTTACTCTTACTTAGTATTTCCCAAATCTGTTAGTACATTTACTTCTTCTGGTTTTTCCTTGTATCCAGTGAAACAGCTTCTTCATGTTCTTTCAGCAAATGCTAAAAGGTTCTCTTTTTATACCATGCATCCTGTAGCGGCAGCTCATCTTTTTCTTTTTTTAGTACCGTTTTGCATTATCAAGGCTAAATATACAGTGATGAAAAGGCACATATCTATAATAGATGAATCTTCTCCGCAATGGAAATATATGAAGTTGGCATTTATATGGAGAAAGAATGAAGCTTGATCCTACTATGAACTTTTTAAAGAATGCTATGTCTTATTTTAGTTACCTAGAATTAGGGGTGGGACTAAAAGCTTTAGTATCAGAAATTACAAGGCAAGCTAAAATGGTGTCTTTATGTGTAAAGATACTACCAACGAAAACACAAAAATGTTGACTTATTCCAAAATATGTTACTCTTGGTTTCTGTATTTTCATTTTTCAGCGGAAGTACAAAGTGAGATTGAACGAATTTTTGAATTGGCACGATCTTTGCAATTGGTTGTTCTAGATGCAGATACAATCAACCACCCTGCACAACTTATTAAGACATCATTAGCTCCAATTATTGTCCATGTTAAAGTGTCTTCTCCAAAGGTGAGTCTGTCTGCCTCTTGGCCTTTCTCCACTTGTACCTGTCCAGTATACAAATATATCTTGGTAATATTTTTCTTTGCTGTGTGTATGAGAGGTAGTCTGCATCTCATCTCCAGCCCATGAGTGAGATACTGTAGCTTTAAGTCAGTGTTGTCCAAACTTGGCCACTTTAAGATGAGTGGACTTCAACTCCCAGAATTCCCCAGCCAGCCACGCTGGGGAATTCT